AGCTTGCTTCTCAATTTTCCTTTCTCTCTCTTTCTCTCTCTGATCAAATTAAAATAATAATAATGATAATAAGTTGTTAAATAATTCTTTAAGAAAAAAAGAATAACCAAATATTTAAGTTAATTTACCATGTCTTAATTTAGTCTTTGTATGCCGTCCATTTTTAAGTGCTTAAATGAGTACTATAGTGCAATAAAAATGTAGTGATATAATTAACTCGCCATTAAAAATTTACTTCTACAGATAAAACAAAAATGAATAAATCTAAAGCATAGGTATTTACCCTGTGCATCTGAGTCTGCAAACTTATCATATAAAGCAAGTGTAAAGTATTTCTTTCATTTGAATATGATTTTTTTCCTGCCACACTCACAGTTTTATCCAGGGAATTCTCTGTAGATATGTAAACATGGAGGAGAAGTTGTAATTTTTGTTTCTCTACGTTAAAAAAAAAAAACATAAAACAAAAAACTATAGGTTTTGTAAAATGATCTATTGTATAGCTTAAGAATTCAAAGTAGATGGGGCCAGTAGGTGGTGAGGTGGTTAGGGCACTGGACTCCCACATGGCCTACTGAGGTTTGAGTCCTGGATATAGTGGCTTACTTTTGCTCTCTCTCTCTCTCTCTCTCTCTCTCTCTGTCTCTCTCTGTCTCTGGTGAAATTAAAAAATAAATAAAAATAATAATGAATGTAATTAACTATTAGGAAAAAATAATTGAAAGTAGAAAAGACCAAACTTAAAATGCTATTAGAGCAAAAGGTCTGAATAAAATTTACTGTTGTTCATGTTTCTGATGTATGGCATGGAGTCAGAAGCCATATTACCTCACAATAATCTTTTATTTGAGTTTGTATTTGATGGCTTAACATCTGTGAATTGTTGAGCTATGTTTTTGCACAGACATGTTTTAATTTAGATTAATTTGGAACACATCTTGGTGTATTTAATCAGGGTATAACATGGGATGGTGCAGTCTGTAAAAAGTGTGTGTGTGTGTTTTGTATAAATAACATTGATATTTTGGTTTTGTAGAAAAAGTTATGTCTTATCCTCTTTAAAAAAAATACCTGCTTAGGTCTCCTTACTTCACTCTTAGATTACATATAGTTCAAAACAAATATAATACTTAATACTAAATTCAGAAAAGGAAAAAAAAAAAAAAAGGAAACTGAGGGACCAGCAGTTAGCATAATGGCTATGTCACTGGACTCCCACGTAGTCCACCACGGTTTGTGTCCCGGACCCGGTGGCTTAAAACTCAAGCCGGGTGCGTGTGTGTGTGTGTGCCCAAGATCCCGAGAGGAGAATGGAGGAGAAGGGATTGCGGTGTGGCCATCCCTGCTGGGGGGTGATTTCTTCCTTTCTGTCTCTCTGTCTCTCTCTGTCTGTCTGGTGAGCACACACAACCTATAGCAAAAAATGTCTCCAAAAAAAAAAATAAAGGAAACTGAAACGCATATAACTGAGTGCTTCTTAATATTTGGCTCATTTTCATTCATGTCTGTAATGTTTGGCATGACCTGTGTTGAAAATATAACAATATTCTATAATAATATGTTTTAAGTTGGATGGCAGATTGACCACACTTATAATTAATTTTAGAATACTAATTTTAAAATTTTACAAAAAATTTGCATTTCACAAAATAATGACATAGAAAAATTTGAATTTGGGCAATAATTTCCCTGGATGTTAAAAATATACAAAATAAATGAAGCCTCATGTACTTAAATACATAAACAGAGAGTATTTTAAAAATATTATTGGGGCTGGCAAATGGTGTGGTGGTTAAGGTGCTGGACTCCCACATGGCTGACCACAGTTCAAGCCATGGACCTGGCAGCTTTCTTGCCCTCTGTGTTCAAGTTGAAAAAAAAAAATGACAATGATGAGTAAAATTAAATAAAGTAATTCTTTAAAAAATACTGTTTAAAGTACCAAGGGTCAAATGATTGCAAAGTGGTAACACAGCTGGACCTACATGGGAAAGGTTCGGGGTACACAAACCGGGACTTCCCTGAACATCATGGTCACATGGCTGTCCCTATCCAGGCCAGCTTGGGGAGGGGTGGGTCACAGAATAAAGACGGCTGGGGAAGCCTCTCTCTCCATCAGTTTTACTCTCCATCTCTCTTTGTTTTGGAGAAAAATGAATAAACGTTAAAAAATAAAGTATGTATACTGTTTTTCTTACCCACTAGTTATTCTCCTTTGAATACACTGAAAATAAAATTAATTATAAATTTTAATCAGTCAGAATTTATTTATATATTATTTTATAACACTCAAATATGTGAAGCAATCAAAATAAGATTGTGATAACAATTTTGTATAAGCTATCCAAACATGATAAAGAGTTTTATTATCTTTTCTATCAGTATTATTGTTCTTGTTTGTTCTGTCTCTTTATGTAGTTTAAGTCCATCTTGGAAACTTTTTAATAATTGTAAGTTATACTCTATACTCTGTATGGTTTTAGAGGAAATGTAGTTTTACTAATGATCAAAAGGATGTTCTTTTTGGGACCAGTGAATGGCATAATGGTTACGTTGCTGGACTCCCACCTTGTTGACTGCAATTTTTACTTGGCAGCTTAAAATTCATGCCGGGTGCATGTGTGTGCGTGACCAAAATCTCAAGAGGAGAATGGAGAAGAAGGGATTATAACATGGCCAACCCCTCTGTGGGGTGATTTCTTACTTTCTGTCTCCTAGTCTTTCTGGTGAGCGCAGATACTGTATAACCAAAAACAAAAACAAAAACAAAAATATAAAACTACCTCTAAAAAAAGTACATTATATTCTATAAAAATAATTTTTTTAGTTAAAAACAATCTACTTAATTGATGTAAAACATGAAAATTCTCCTGTAGCTCTTACTGTCTTATCAGCTAAAACGGAAACGAAAGAGGGAACACATCCTTTGTCCACATCCAGGGCTCTCGGCAGAGGAGTCGTGAAGTCCCTGTTTGTGTAAGTACTGGCCCAGGAATACTGCTCCCTGTAGTGCTCTACTTGATATATCCATGTTCAAGCAATCAGGACTTCTGAGGGACTTTACTTGTGAAGTCAAAGAGATGGCAATAGATTGTGCAACAACTAGCCTTATTTGAAAAGCACTTTTTTTTTTAGAGAGATTTTTGCTATAAGGCACATGTGTTCACCAGACAGAGACAGAGAGACAGAAAGCAAGAAACCATCCTCAAGGGGATGGCCACACTGCATTCCCTTCTACTTTATTCTCCTCTTGGGATCTTGGGCACTCATGCACATGTACCCATCATGAATTTTAAGTCGCCGGGTCCAGGACTTGAATTGAGGTCAACTATGTGGGAGTCCAGAGACATAGCCATTACGCTATCTGCGGGTCCTGTAAGCACTTTAAAATAGGCTTATGCAATGAATTGTTCAACATCTTAGGAAGTGAGAATTCTTTGATACTGGTTATAAACTAGTGTGTAGATGCTATAATAACCACTTTTGTGAATCCAGTTCACTTCATTTTATGACCTGGGGAAGTCTAGAAGTATTCATTATGCCTCGTCAATCTAACTTTGTATAGCAAATATTTCTAAGTCTAGCTTGTCCCATTTTATTAGTTCATTTTTCTTGCTCAGAAAGCAGCAGTTCTTAACAGTTTAGCTGTAATACTTTTCTTTTTAAATTGTATTAATTTTCTCCCTCTTATTCTTATTCTCACTTTTGCTTTTAGTTTTTCTCTTTTATGTATCTTTTTTAATATTGAGAAAAAATGAGAGAGAGAGAGAGAAAGAGAGAGAGAGAGACTCTCTCAACAGTGTCTTCATGCCCCAATCCACCCCAGTTTCAGTCAGCCTGAATCATGGGCACATGGGTCCCCAGCATACTCAGGGAGGTCTCTGGATGCGAACCTGGAACTTTGCCACGTGGGTCAGCCTAGCATAGCATAGTGTTCCCACCATACCACCAGCCAGTCAGTCTCTATCCATTTATTTTAGGTGGTGATCCATCTTATACTTTGGCAGTGGGTATATTTCTAAATGTTCCACGATAGGTCTCCTAGGGAAACATTACATTGAAAATGGTCACGTATGAATAAATCTAGCCTCAGATTTACTGCTGTAGTAAACATGTGAATGGAACATTATATTTTATACCATAAAATAAGCTTTGGGTTAGTTTATTACTGAGTAACTAGAGAGAATATACAGCTTGACCTTTTCTTTTGTGTCTACCTTTTTTTGTTTGTTCCATATAAATACTTACTTTTTTTTTTTGGAGAGGTTTTTGCTATAGGGCACGTGTGCTCGCCAGAAAGACAGAGACAGAGAGATAGAAAGTGAGAAATCATCCCCCAGGGGGGATGGTCACACCACAATCCCTTCTCCTCCATTCTCCTCTTGGGATCTTGGGCACGCACGCACACGCGCCCGGCGTGAGTTTAAGCCACTGGGTCTGGGGCTTGAACCGCAGTCTGACTATGTGGGATTCCAGTGACATAGCCATTATGCTAACTGCGGGTCCCCATATAAATACTTTCAACATGGACTTTAATAATGGCTGATTTTGAGAAGACAGACATCTTCGAAATCATTTGAGATACTGAGGCTTATGCATATAAATATTGATCCTGTGGCTCTTTACATGTGTCTAATTAATTTGCTACCTCACTTAGGGCATTTTTACTAACAGATATTATAAGTGAAACTTCAGAGTCAGTTATTCAAAATATGACAGATATATGTTAAAAGCAAACTCAGAAACATTGAATTAGAAATGCTGATGAAAATCTCTTCTCTGCTTACCCAGAGGAGTTCTGGTTTCAGATGGATCCCAGTACAGGTATCCATACATTTGCCTATGACTTGTGCAAGACCATTTTCACAAGAGATCTGCAAAAATAAATATGAAGATGAAGATGATGTTCTTTCCTTGCAAGACATTTTAATGAACTGAAAATAGATGATTTCCAAATAGCATAGAGAATTTGTATTTATTGTTCTCTCTTCTTCACATAGGTTATGTGGGTATGCAATTTATGTCGAAAGCAACAAGAAATCTTAACCAAATCTGGGGCATGGTTCTTTGGAAGTGGCCCTCAACAGCCAAGTCAGGACGGAACCTTGAGTGATACAGCGACAGGTGCTGGTTCTGAGGTACCGAGAGAAAAGAAAGCACGACTCCAAGAGCGATCGCGGTCCCAGACACCCCTAAGCACAGCAGCTGCCTCCTCCCAGGACATTGCTCCTCCCAGCGCACCGCCAGACAGGAGCAAAGGGGCTGAGCCCTCACAGCAAGCCGTGGGCCCCGAACAGAAACAGGCTTCCTCCAGGTCTAGAAGTGAGCCTCCAAGAGAGAGGTAATAGTTCACTAGCCCTGTGAACAAAAGGCAAGGTCCTTCCTACTTTGAAAACAAGCCCATTATCAAAAATTTAACTTCTACTAAGAGGAATATGTGGCAATATTCCTCAAGCCTTGGACAGAAGTCAACATGAGACCTGGGGTGCTTTGTCTTTCTCTAGAAAGTACCATCGCTTAGGAGACCTATTGTCACGATATTGCTTTCATATCATGCACCGACATAAACATTAGCTAAGTCACCTGACCAAGTTACTAGCTTCCAACCATGAACGCAGAAAAGCTTTTAGATCATTTTTCATTTATAGAATTAATCCTTCAATTGAACGTGTTCTCAGAAATTATGTTGAGAGAACCTGATCTATTGGAGTGTGTGTGAGTTTCTCAAAGAGACCTTTGAGGAATGTTCTTTAGATTTTTTTAATGATAGATGCACATACACACACATGGAATACAGAAGGAAAAAGAGAGAAAGAGAAGCATCCTCACAGGGTTTTGTCATGCTGTGAGCCCCTTCCTGAGCCCTCTAGCTCCTCTGTACCCATTTGGGCTCAGGGTGGTTTTTCAGGCTGACCCAGGATCCAAACCACAGTCACCATACAGCTTCCATCACTTCAGGGCACTAGCCTGAGACACAGCGGCTAGGCTGAGGACATTTCTTTTATGCCGGAATCTGGAGAGGTTAAAAATGAACCAGGAGAAGGGAGGATGAGTGCTCCAGCTATCTGTAAGGCATCTGCCTGAAGGAACAAGTCCTGTAGGACGCCATTGCCAGAGTGCAGGTAGCGGAGGGTGGAGGAAAGATGGCTGGTGAGGCAGTGAGGGGAATCCTAGGACTAATGGAAGGGCAGTGAAGATTTAGGCAGACACTGAGCAAATCACATGATTTACTACAATCGATGGATTCATTTAAAAGAATGCATGTGTGACCAGACACAATGCTACGCAAAAGTAAAAGTGCTAACCAGACAGACATAGCTCTTGTCTTCATGAGCCTCACAGTTTAGGGGATCTTGAGTATGCTTGGTTGTTTTTGTCTGTGTAACCCTTTTTTATCCTACTGAGTGGGAGAGTATACTCCAAGGAAAACATTTGCTCCCCTTTTCAAACAAAGCCAATGCTATAAGGCTGAGGACGTCAAAGTTAAACAGGCTGGATTCCAGACCCGGCTTTGCCACAATAGACAGTAATAACCCACCTTTTAAGGCTGTGGCAGGTATTAAAGGAGAGTATGTGTCCACAGGCAGGCACATGGTGGGCATTCAATTCAGGAAGCTATAATTCAAGCAAGTCGTCCTTGTGTATTTAGCTGTAAGTAAACACTGTGTCAGGAACCAGAGGGCATATAAAGATTATTAGGACATGGTTGCTTTTCACAGCTCCTAGGGAAGAGAACACACAATATCCCAGGGAAGATGAATACTGAGACAATTGACCAGGAAGACAATTTGATCAAAGCTAGAAGAGACATAGAGTGCTTCAGGAGGCCCAGGAGAGAGGAAATGACTTTGGAATTAAACTTCGTAACATATCCAGGAATTGCAGGGGATACAGACAGAGTGGACGAGGACATTACAGAAAGAGATAATGAGTACATCTAAACTGAAGGGAGAGAGTATAGAAGGGAGACCAGAGACAGTTCAGTGAAGGTAGAATTAATAGCATTTAGTGACAAACTGTTGCTTGCGAAGAAGAGACAGAAATATTGAAAGGTGTGACTTGGAATTGGGCAGAAGATGAGATCTTTAAATAAGATAGAGAATTTGGAGCAGTAAAATTTATAGAAAATAATTTTGACATGGTGAAAACTACACAATTTCAAGAATGAGAAATGAGTAGATACTGGTTTGACCTTTGGAAGAAAGCTGAAGATTGATAAGGGAAAATGCCTTTATTAACACTATAAATACATAAGAAAGTAATAAATTGGGAACGTAGGATTAGAAGAGAAAAATGGGTGGCAGTAAGGAGTTGGGAAACTTCAGGGAGAAATATGGTTGAAAGAATGACAGAATGCTTGTTTTAATTTATTAAAAAGTCTTCCTTTTATTTTGTACACTGATAACGAGCTAGTGGAAACAAAACAATGAACATAGAGGTCAGAAAAAGTGTAATTAGTGGAACAAAGAATCCGAGACTGCAGAGCTTCCATGTGTGTAATAATCTACCCTTTCATAAAGCACCTTCATAGATGGTGTCTCCTTTAATCCTAACTTGAATTCTGTAAGTAAGCACTATTTATCAGCATTTCCGAAAGAGTCAATTAGTTCAATGTAATCTTGGAACAAGAGGCATCTGTGCCTTAATGAGGTACTAAATGCTTGTGGTACAATCACCACACACAAAAACTGTATTCAATAATAATTAATACGTGATCATATTAGGTATTTTACATTGTAAAACTGCAATGCCACCTTCGCAGTTCCATCTTCAGATTCAGAAATCCCTTTCACTTTAAAGGGTCAACACCATCTAAACGCCTGAAGCAGAGCTTGCCATGTTTTTTTTTTTTTGTTCTGTTTCTCTGTGGCACTTGAAGTCATTTATCCTTTCTCTGTGCCATCACCAGCATCTCCTCAAACTCCCCCCAGGACATACCATAGCAAATACTTCTGTAACTCACAAATAGACATGGCCCCACCTTTCCCCATCTTGTATTTCTCTCAGTGTTCATTCACAGCATCTGCTCTGGACTTCCAGTCAGTTGTAACTTCTTCGGAGTCCCCTCTGTGTACCTAGGATTCCAAATCACTGCTCCATTTTAATTGAACATTTGAGTTTATAATGCCAGAGAGATTATCCAAGGCACCCACTTTTGGTAACTTCTGGTGTAATTGCTGCGACTCCCCCAAATTAGGTGTACTCTGGTGTACAGAGAACTGAAAGTGACAACCGAATTATGCATCTATAGGATTCAAAGACTGCCGAATGTGTTCCCTTTTATCTTTACCAGTGACTTCAATAGCATGGAGAGAAAAGCAGAACGTAGAACTATTGTCTGCTTTTGGATATTATTCTAAAGTAAGGCAGAAAGAGGGGAGACAGGAAAATTGGTGGTTTCAAAATTTCAACCTTTCTTTTATTTTTACCTGTGGAAGGTAAAAAGAAAGCCACGGTTCGGCTCCGTTTTCCTAACCAACTCCCTGAAGGGTGTTTGGGTGCACACAATTAAGATTACTTCTAAGAAATGCAATTAGATTTGATTTCTGAATTGGACTTACTTATTCACATTTCTTTAAATCTTTCATTCGTAATAAAGTAATGTCACTATGTCAAATAGTTTTAAAGAGATGCATTACCTTTTGTTCCTATATTATTATTATCTATATTATTTTCATCTAAAATGTCTTAAGTCTTTGAGTTACAAGCAGTTTAGTGTAAAACTTGTTCATTTGTTGAATTAATATTTTGATGGCCGTTATTTAGCTGGTTTATTTATAGATGATTTGAAATATGAAAACAAGATTTTAACCCCCAAATACATTGTGGTGCAAAGAAATCTTATTCATTTATTTTAGAGGTTTTTGCCTTAGGGTGCATGCGCTCGCCAGAGAAAGAGACAGTAAGAAGGAAAGCGAGGCCATATTTAAAAAGCTAATCGGATATACAGGTTTCGTGTGGCTTTTTATGGTCTCAATTTTTAATGAGAATTAAATTTATGTTTAATTTGAAATTACTTAAGATCGGAATGAGAAGGAAAATGTTTCTCAGGTTTGATCTTCAAGTGTTGGAAACCGCAGTCCATCCTGACGTCCCTTTGCTTATCCCAGGAAGAAGACTCCAGGACTTTCTGAGCAAAATGGCAAAGGAGCCCTGAAGAGCGAGCGGAAACGCGTGCCCAAGACCGCAGCGCAGCCCGGGGAGGGGGCCGCGG